ATATTTGCAGAAATGTGAGGGATGTACTCATTTTTGTGAGATATTGTAACCTGTGTCTGTAATATTTCAATCTTCTAACTGAAATATTGAATCAGAAATGATGACTGCAGTTATTAAATTGTTAGTTGTGCTGCACATCTTGCAGGTCAGTAAAATAAAATATTTATTTTTTTCTTTTGTAGAGAAGGACAACTACTGCCCCTATGGCTGGTCCCGTTATGGCAAACAATGTTTCGTCTTCATCAACGATCCGAAGACATGGCTCGAAGCCGAGGTGAGGACTGACAAAGGGAGCGCCCCCTGGATGCTGCGATGTTCATGTGACAAAATGAAAGAGTTGTAAAGAATCACACTGGGAAAAACTGTTTCTTCTCCTGTCCCCTTCAGTTATACTGTCTGTTTGAATGGGCAAACCTGGCTTCAATCCACAGTTATGATGAGAATAACTTCGTCCAGGATCTGACCAGAGGAGACACCCACGACTTCCCTGAAACCTGGATCGGTGGCTTTGATATCATAATGGTATGGAAATCTTTTAGTTTAGTCGACATTAACTAACCTTTCTAATCCAAGTTTTCACTCTGACACCTAGCTCTGTAGGAGTAAAATGTATATATTTTGTGACTTTTATCTTTTTAATGTCAGCATATATGGAATATCTGAATAATAGAACTTCAGTGTCACAAAACATAGATTTTCCTGCTAGTGCTAGGCTAATCTATGTTGAAAAGGCAAACACATTTTTTAAAATAGTTAAAGGTAAAACCGGTATGCAAGTCACATCTTAAATTAGCTACTCTACATCAATCATTAGCTAGCTAATTAGCTAGCATTTTACTAACGTTACTATGTTTGGATGTCACTATGTTGCATTTATCTTTGAACCATCTTCGAAATGTGGTTGTCTGTTAGCCTAGTGCATAGCATATCTAAGTACCGGTAAGGAGGAAGATGACCTAGGTTGTGACCAAGGCTTGCTCAACTGTTATTGGAGCGTAGAGCAAAAAGGGGTGGGACATTAGGAAGGGTCAATTAACAAAGACAGCAGCAAATACTTTCACAAGGGGCAATTAATTACTTAAAATCTGATTTAAAAAAATGAAAAATGTTTTTTAGCCGTACAATGCAATTACAGATTTATACCTGGTATAAGTGTTCATGTATTTCTATCCATAGAACAACCATTGGTTGTGGAGTGATGGCTCCAAGTTCAACTACAACAACATCGGCAAAGAAGATGATGCAATGGAGGAAAATGAGCACTGTCTGAAGATGAATGATGGATGTAATAAGCACACTCATGCATACAAGCTTTTAAAGTCCAGGTGGAACAGATATCAGAGTGCTATTTACAGTTGAAGTAGCCGATTGCGATGTGTATTACACCTTACGTAAGCACACGTCACGACTTTACCTGACAGCTGTGTGGAAAGAACTGCAACAGAATTGACTTTTTCACAATAACATTAGTTTTATGCTGTTCTTGATTATCTTGCTTAATTTCAACTGTAAAATCTGTGCAAGATCTTGTGAGTCAAGTGCTTCTTTCTTCCCCATTGCAGATGACTGGAAGTGGGACCCTGCCCGTTGCAATGACAGTCTCCCTTTTGTTTGTGCGAAGAGGATTTGGGCCTGACAATCAGAAAACTGACACATCTGACAAGTTCCTGGCTACAGGATGCGGAAAAGTTAGAGTAACATTTCCCCTTCAAAATCAGTTCCCGCCACTGCTTGTCTTCCTTGTTTTTGTTAAACGTGATCGATAGATATAGAGTCTGGCTATAATCCACCAGCACCACCACCTTTCAGTCTAACTTCTGCCGCGCGTCATATCTTCAGCAAGATTTGTAATTCCAATGTCAATAAAAAATATCATTGAATGCATTAGAAGCTTTAGAAATTATATCAATAAAAAATTGCACACCAAAGATTTATGTTATTATTTAGTACTTGTTTCCGTCTCCCCATTAATTCAGTAAAATCACACACCTGACTTAGTATAGCGGTTATTTGTAGGAGTAATATGTGGGTTTTTTTTGTGACTTTTCAGTTTTAAATGTCAGCACATGTGAAATATCTGAATAATAGAACATCAGTGTCACAAATTAAATAAAACTTTATTTGAAGGTTGTACAAACAAACAAAACAGGTTTGTCACTTGGCAGCATTTAACAGAAAACAAATGAGAAAAACAAAAGAAAATAGGAAGGCATAACAGATATCAATCTGTTCACACAGAAGCCGAGATGGGATTAAAGTTTAATTTACTGCAATGAAATTAAGAGTTCTGGTTAGGCAAGTGGTTTTGGTTTATCAGAAAAATATTATTCATGACTAAACCAATGTTTGTACAAGTTTGTGTTTGTTAAGGCCTGTGATTTCATAACACAGCACTTTTCGGAATTCCTTTTGGACTCAAACAAACACCAGTTGCTCAATCGTCCTAATTTCCCAACAGTGATGGACTTACTGCTACACTTTCACAAAAAAAGCTCAGACTGTGAAGTGAATATTAATCTATTAATTCAAAAACAGTATTCAGTGTATAGATGCTTTAGCTTAGATGACACAAAACACCAATCAAACAAGAATAAAAGAATAAAAACAAACAGAACTACTGCTGAGATCTATCTATTATATGTCTCTTTTTTTTTAACCTGTCCCTCAAACAGCTAATGAACAGCACAATTTGTCTCTCTAGAGGACAGCATTGGCTTTAAAAGGAAAAATGGTCAAACTGGAAACTGCTTACACATATGTTCAACCAACTCTGACTAATCATAAACCCTTCAGTCCTTTTGCCCTTTTGTTCCTGCACAAACACCCGATTGACCGTGTAGGGGAGTGACTCAGGTTGGGTAAACTGTCCCAGCAGTCACCGACCAATATCAGAGGATCGATAAAAGTGGGGGAGGACATTGAGTCGCACACAGACGGAGGATAAATACCTGGTCAAATCAGATTTCAGTGACAGAATAAGGAGTGAAGGCACACTGAAGACAAGGCTTGAGCACTTTACAGTGGACGATGAGGACGCTACTGTTGCTGTATCTGTGTGTGTACACGGCCTGGGCTCAGGATATTCTGGAATATGACGACTATGACACGGTGAGTGAATACAATTGTATAAAAGTTTTCTAAAGATACCACTTGTGTCAAACTGAAGCCACAGAACGTAGTGTATGTGTATATTTATTCTCTAAACTTAACATTTCATGTATTCAATTTCAGTTTGAATTCTGACACACTAAAATCAAAAGGCAGATTTAATGTGTATTTATTATTATGTTAGAAACAGAATTATGATTATGGCTGGGCATCGGTATTGTAAGGCAGTGGTTGCCACCCTTTTTCTAACATTGAATAAACTGACGACCCCTGATTAAGTGATTTTACAGATATTTCATATTATCTTTAATCTCTTATTATATTATATCACTGTTCTATTAGCTCTTCGGATGTTTTTTAATGCAGGATGAGGCTGTTTATCAGAATGAAGGCTCTGTGAATATAGCTAAACCTTAAAAATAACAATTTTATTTAGTTCAATTCACATAAATAAACAAAATTCTGAGATATCGGCCTACTGTGTACTGCATAGCAATCACTGCAAGCCTTATTTTATTAAGTGTGATGTGTATCTACAAATTTATAAGCATCTAATAAATATTTCAATAATTTAGACACTTACAAAATGTATTCATGTAAAAATTGTTTGGTTGGGGACGGATGGTGGGATTTTCCACAGCTGAATGCTTTGAATTAAGTATTGGTGTTGCTTTAAGGGCACTAGTAGTGGTACTTGTTATTTTTTAAAGATACCCAGCCCTAATTATAATGCTGATCACTACTAATATTAAATACTATTGAATATCAACAGTTGATTGCATCAAACATCAAGTTGTAAATTTTGCTCTTATTCACCTTTTACATAATAATAATAATAATAATAATAATACATTTTATTTGTAAGTGCTTTTCTGGATACTCAGACACTTTACATAAAAACAACATAAAACCAGCAAAAACAACATCAAATAGTAGATGGATACCATACCATAGACTAAACTGCCCTAGATAATGTAGCTTTTAAACAACTGTTTGAAACACATGCATGACAAGACAAAGGATTTGAATGTTCAAATGTATTCACAATAGTTTTTCTGTTATCTTCAACAGGATGGCCAGAGCACACAGGCAAAGAATAACACAGTAAGTAGAATACGTTGAAATGGTTTGACTCATGAATTTCATTTATTTTGCTATTTTGTTATTTATTTCATCCACCACATCTTGTTTCCTCCTGTTTCCCTGCAGGCATCTGTAGATGCTCGTGGTCACCGTCCACTATCAAGAGGGAGGGAGGTCTACAGTTCCAGCCGCTATACCCCGCCGCCAATCGGTGGTAGTGGAAGGTACATTCACATGAGAAATAATTAAAAAAGAAAGAATGACAGAAAGCCTCACTTACTAATGCAACCATCCTTGCATATAGAGATATTTTACTCTGTGAAAATACTCCATTATGAGTAAAAAGTACCAGAATTAGCAGCAAAATGTACTTACAGAATCAAAAGTAGAGGTTCTCTCTCTTAGAATGTTATATTATTGGATCAAATCAAGCACCTCAAAATTATACTTAAATAAAGCACAGTAAATGTACTTAGTTACTTTCCACGAGACAAGTTAAGACAAACTTAAGACACTTCACAGACCTGGAAGCTCTGTCCGTTATATATACTGTCAATGGTGAAGTGCCTCTTGCTTTTTGTTGAAGGTATCGCGGCCGCCCAACCCCGGCTCCAGTTGGACGACCACAAGGGCAGGAGAAGGAGGAGCAGCCGGAGGCCGGAGGATGCACACACGCCTCAGAGGAGATGGTAGGAAGACACCGGCAAATGGTCACCAAAAGGAACAAGCACTGATTTTAGCTCAGTAACAAGTTTGTAGACTCTTCCTTTCCAGGAGAGTCTACAAACTTGAAACTATACACAGTGCACTGTAGTGCGATAAGTTGTTTCAACTTAAAAAATGGTTGAAACTGATTACATTAAAAATTGTAAGTAACAAGTTCAAAAAGATTCTTGATTAAGCAGCTTTTACTAGTAAAAGACACTAAATTACAGAAACATTCCTATGTACGTACTTTTTACTAGATATTTTGTTTTCACAGTACAAATAAAAATTAAAAAATTAAGTTAATGTCACTTAAAAGTACTTGAATTTTTTTAGTGAAATTAATTTATCTGGTTTTACAGTGTAGGCCTCTATTCCAACATTTGGTTCACTTCTGTAAAGAAAAGTAGACAAGAAATATTGAATTTGTCAAAAAAGAAGTCTATATCATTTTTAAACATTATAAAAAGTACATAATACAAAATTCATCCAAGTCACTTGTTTTACACATTTCTTGAGTTAATTGTACAGCTTTGAAAATAAAATGATTAATTAGGAAAAAAGGATGGGGACCACTGGGCTAAAGCATTCAAAACCACTAGAATGACGTAGAATAATCTCAAACATTTTGAGATGGTGATTGAAAATAGAAAAGGGGAACAAAGACAAAGAAGGTAACTGAAACACAGAAAACTAACTAGATATTCTTTTGTCCACCAGGGTGTTTTGTGCCCCAATGGCTGCGAGCTGAAGACGGCACTGCTGAAGCAAGAGAGGAACGTCAAGGCGGTAAATAAAACTGATTTACTTAATTAGTTTTAGTCAAGTTTGTTTTCATCGTTTTTTTGAACTACCAGAAGCCTTTTCTTGGTACAAATCGGGCTAGAAATGAGTTTAAACCAACGTTTACAAATGTAATTGCATGGAATTTATTGCTAGCGTTGTTGTCACATTGAGCAAACATTTACTCATTGATCTCTCACAGAGCATTAAGGAACTCAAGCCTCATGTGGATGAGTTGTCCCGATCCTCCAACGCTGTTTACAACTACGTCAACAGCATTTCCAACTCCCTGAGGGAGAGGCAGAGAGTTGTCAATGGTGAGAAAGATCTGATTAATCATCAGCCAGATAATGTTGGTAGATTGTGTTGCAAAAGGGATCTTCTACAAAGCCCAAACAGGTGTGAAAAATGCTGCAAAAAAATGGTAAAATCAGGACAACCTTTTTTCTTTTTCCTTTGGTGAAAGTGTGCTCTGGGCTTGCCTTAGTACAAATCTGAAGAAATTGTCAGAATTTCACACTTTTTATGGGACAACTTTCTTTTCCTAACAGGGTAGAAAATGTCCTGAATAAGCAGAATTTAATAACATCTAATCTAATCTAATTACAGTTGTGCAACTTTTATTTATATTGAGTATATAGATAGGAGTCCATTGCATGTGTGTACTGAAAATAATACAAATCCATCAATTTTTACTGCTTGTTCAGGACATTTTCTACAATTTTAGGAAAAATTAGATGTGCCCAGTGTATGATTTTTCATGTGATCTAAAAATGTACAAATTGTACTATTACTGATACTTAGTATGTTGGTACCGAATTTAGTATGTTGGTACCAAATTTGGTTAAACTATTGTTCACTTAAGAATTAATTTAAAGTTGTGCACTTACTGAAGAATAACGTATTGCGTAGAGGAGTAGAGTGTACTCTTATTGGTTGATAACCCATTTAAACAATGGCTACTTTTACCAGATTATAATTATATTTCATTTTGGGAAAAACATGCTCTTTACAGGAAGTTTCCTTTGCTACTAGCTTTTTCAGCTCTGACATTAAAATCAATTTAAACTTAGTGGTTTGGCAATTTTTTTTTTATCCTCAATCGGTCCTGTCAAATCCTTCAAGGGGTTTTTTTTATTGAGAATTCTGATGACATCTGCAATAAAATAAAATATGGGAAATTATTCTGTACTTTGTTATGTATGATATAAAAAAATGTAGTTGAAATCTTTTC